AATGCTATCATTGAGACTCAGATAAGTCAGCTGCAAGAGGCACCTGGTTCCAGTCACTCTGAGGTTGCTCGCCTGACAAAGGAGAACGCTGAGCTCAGGAAACAAGTGGAGCACCTGAAAGAAAGACTACTCAATGAGCAAATGTCAGCGAATGCTCGTATGGATCTGGTCCTCCAAACAATTTCCTCTGCTTCCAAACCTTCTCCTCCCAGTGCTTCTTAAATTCTGTCCCCTCAGTGTCCAGTCTCTCCGTGTCAGTTCTTATGATAACTTGTGGTAGTTTTGTTGATTGTTCTAAATGTGCGGATGTGGTAGTAACATTGATTCTGCTCCTGCTGTAAAATCCAAAACTATGGTAATGCAAGCGTTTCCTTTGTTGTTGTTTATACCGTGCTTTTATGCTCTGTTCTTAATCATGACTGTGTGCACATAAGCGGCATGAGTTAACTTAAAACTAGACTTCCTTCTTGCTTACCTGTTTCTGATATTTTTATGATGCCAAAAGGGGGAAAAATATTGCACTGATTAAGGGGAATACAAAGCTTCAGAGGGAACTTAAGGTCTTTCTGGTTCACAATCTGGTTCTTTATGGCTCTTTCTAGGTGTTATAATTATAAGTCTGTCATCATCAAAAAGGGGGGAAATTGATAGGTTACAAGTACTTTGGTTATAAGTACTTTACTTTATGTTTTGATGATCTAACAAACTTACTATCCAAAACCAGATAAGGAACCTGTTACACATTTACAAGACCTCAAGATCACAAGGTTCCAGGTTGGGATTCAATATGGAATATGATTCCACTCTTTAGAGTGGAAGGAACAGCTAAGGGAACAGGTCCCTAACAGTTCCTGTGGAGATTGTACGAAGTCAACTTTCCAGTTGGAAAAGTTACTGCCTGCACACGCTACAGTGCAGGAACAATGCTGCAGTCAACTTTCCAAGGAAGACTTTTTACCTACCTTGCTTGCATCATTGTAAGTGATGTCACACATGTATATATTCATTCAAGGGGGGTAAAACAAAACACTTGAACATTTGGCAAGCTCATTTCACGTGACTATCCAGCAAGCAAGTTTCAAGTGCTTCAAGAACAAAGAACAAAACAACTACGGACCAGTTCCCACATAGAGTTATTGGATGTCCTTAATTGAGTTGTAACTTTGTAATAGTTCATTAAATTGTAATTCCTATCTAGCATATTTAGAAGCATCCTATAGGAACCCATTTGTAAGCCTTAAACCAATGTGTTTGAGTCTTGGCTAAAGTTAGTCATGTTGTAAAGTATTTGTAATAGAGTTATTACAAAATGGCTTGTAATAGAGTATTACAAGTTAGTGAGGGATTAAGAGGTTAATTCCTAGGTTGCATAGGTTGTAATCTAAAAGTTGCTCAGTAGTGAAGTTGAAATCCTACAAGGGTAGGTCGTGGTTTTTTATCCCGTTGAGCTGGAAATTTTCCACGTAAAATTCCTTTTGCCATTTAATTACTGTTGTGTGTGTGTGTGCTGTTGGACCTGATAGAGAACCTGGTTCTCTATAGACTTTGGTGGACCCTAATATGTTTTCACCATGCCTTCTTATACCATAAAATGACATTTTTCCCAATTTAACACCGAATTTGTTTGTTCAGAACGGGCCAGCACCTTGCTCAAATTCTTCAAACAATCATCATAAGAAGACCCAAAGACTGAAAAATTATCCAGGAAGACCTCCAAAAAGTTTTCTACCATATCAGTTAAAATAGCGATCATGCACCTCTAAAAAGTGGCCGATGCATTACAAAGACTAAACGGCATTCTCTTGAAAGCGAAAGTACCATAACGATATGTAAAAGTGGTCTTCTCCTGATCCTCTAGGCAGATGAAAGTCTTGTTGTATCCCGAATAATCATCAACGAAACAACAATATTCATGCCCCGCCAATCTTTCCCACATTTGGTTAATGAATGGAAGAGGGAAGTGGTCCTTGCGGGTTGCTTTGTTGAGCCTTCTGTAGTCAATGCAAACTCTCTACCCCGTCATGTTTTGAATACGACTTAGCTCATTTTTCTCATTCTCTACAACTGTCATCCCCCCCTTTTTAGGCACACATTGTACTAGGCTTATCCAGTTGCTGTCGGAGATAGGAAAGATGATACCTGCATCAAGCCACTTAATTACTTCCTTCTTCACTACCTCTTTCGTAATGGGATTTAATCTCCTTTGTTGCTTAACACTAGGGCGGTGTCCATCTTCCAAAAAGATATTATGCATGCAAAATGATGGAATGATTCCTTTTATGTCAGCAATTGTCTTCCTAATAACCTTTTTATTCTCAGAAGCACTCTGAGCAAATTTTTCTTCTTGCACCTCGGTCAAGCTGGATGAGATAATTACTGGCATGTCTTAGAGTTCCCCAAATAAGCATAGCGCAAATGTGCTGGAAGGGGCTTAAGCACCAGCTTTGGAGCTTCTTCAATAGATGGCTTAGGAGGGGTCAGAGTAACAGGCCTGTCCAACTCCTCAAATCTCCCAAACCCATGGAAATAACTTCAAGACATGTTAAGTAATTGCACAATTTTTTCCAATTATCTCATCTTCATTGTCTTCTTTATCCTCAATCAAAGGATCGTTCAAGAGGATCTATGGGGCTCATATGAGGCACCAATGACGTCACATCACTTTTCACCACAGAAATCATGGATAACTCTTCATAGTGGCTGGCTATCTGAGTGCTTTATACACATTGAACACCTTCACTCGATCACCCACTCTCATCGTCATCTTTCCTTCGCATACATCAATAATAGCTCGGCACGCGGCTAAGAATGGACGCCCCAAAATAAATGGGACTTTCTGATCAGGCTCATACTCTAAGATAATAATATCAACAAGGAATATAAAAGAACCCACTTGAACTAACACATCATCAATCACACTTTCAGGATTTGGCAAGGGAGCTATCAGCCAACTTTAAACTCACCGTGGTTGGGTGCGGCTCACCCAACCAAAACTGTTTGAATAAAGATAGAAGAATCAAATTGATGCTCGCCCCAAGATCACACAAAGCTCACCCAACTATGTGCTTACCAATCGAGATTTGGATAGTGAAACTACCTGGATCCTTCAATTTCTATGGTAGCTTTTTTTGAATTCTTGAGCTTCATTCTTCACTAAGTGCCACAGTCTCGAACTCTATCAAGCTCCTCTTATTTGCCACTATTTCCTTGATGTATTTGGCATATTTGGGCACTTCTTGCAGGATGTCTACAAGTGGAATATTGATTTGCACTTGCTTCAAAATATCAAGAAAATTTTTATAGGCCGCATTATCCTTCACTTTCTGCAATATCTGAGGGAAAGACGGCGATGGCCTTGCAACTAATGGTGGGGGCTGCTTAGCCACCACCTCTTGAGCTGGCTTCTCTGACTCTTTCACTTTTTCTGATTATGCTTCTATGGTGGCCGATTTCACCTGAAAGGTCACTTACATTCATCAATGATACAGCATTAATAGATTCCTTAGGATTAGCCTTACTGTCGCTTGGAAGAGCTCCAACTGGCCAATTATTTTGAGCACTAGCAAGTTGCCCCATTTGTCGCTCTAGATTTCGAATAGCAGTAACTTGATTTTGATTATCAGCCATAATTTTTCTTAGAATCTCTTGAACATTACCCATCAAATTTGCGGACTGATCTGCTTGTGGTGGGCGAAACTGTTGATATTTGACCTTGTGGCTTGAACTTATTCTGAGCATCCTGATTTCCACCCTAGGAGAAATTTGGGTGGTTCCTCCAATTTGGATTATAAGCATTACCATATTGATTTTGATTAGCTTGGCCTCTATTAGCATTCCCCACAAAGTAAACTGACTTTGGATTCGCTGGACATGCATCACTGGTATGGCCATCGCCGCAGACTTCGCAGAACACTTGCACTTGTTGTTATGGTTGAACATGTTGCATTAGTTGGAACTGATGTTGGTTCTGAACCACATTCATCTTGCTGATTTGATTCGCTAAAAATGCTACGTGTACAGATAATGCTGATACAACATCTAATTCAAGTACGCCGACAACTTTCTAGACCGTGTTTTTACTTGCTTCCCCTTGCCAATCTCAGATTTCTCAGCCAATGCTTTTTACACCAGTTACTCCATCCCCTGCCCATTCAGCTAGAAGGGGAGGACTAACAGCTAGAGATTGCCCTAGGGGAGGGGACCAGGTAGGTGGAGGTATACCGGTGGTGGCCAGGCTCGTTTCTATGCTTTTTTGGGTAGACCTAAGGCGATGGCCTCAAATTCTATGATCATAGGTATGGTTTTAGTCTTTCATAGATATGCTTCTGTATTGTTTGATCTGGGGTCTACTTATTTATATTTGTCATCATATTTTGCTCCTTATTTTGATATGCCTTGTGGTTCTCTTCATATTTTTGTTCATGTATCTACACCCGTTGGTGATTCTATTATGTAATTATCTTTATGGTGTGTCTTGTGAGGTATATATGTATCACCAGAGTCACCATCATCTATTCAAGTAAAAGGATTTAAACTTGAGGCAATGGAGGTGGTCAGAGCTATTGAAAGACTACGATATCACCATTATTTATCATCCGAGAAAGGCCAACGTGGTGGCCGACGCCTTGAGTAGGAAGATGGAGAGAATAGGGAGTCTTACTTTTAGTCCAGATGGGGAGAGGCCATTAGCTATGAATGTTCAGGCTTTGGTCAAAAGATTCATGAGATTGGATATTTCGGCGCCTATAAGCGTTCTTACTTATGCTGTATCACGGTCGTCCTTGTTTGAGCGCATCAAAGTGCGTCAGTGTGATGATCCTCACTTGTTTGTCCTTAGGAACACAGTGCAACACAGTGATGCCAAGGAGGTGACTATTGGTGATGATGGAGTATTGAGTCTTTAGGGTCGGATCTGGTTTCCTAATATGGATGGCTTGAGAGAGTTGATTCTTGAGAAGGCTCATTGTTCGTGGTATTCCATTATTCCGGGTGCCGCATAAATGTACTGTGATTTGTGGAAGCATTACTGGTGGAGTAGGATGAAGAAGCATATTGTTGAGCATGTTGCACGGTGTTTCAACAGTCAACAGATGAAGTATGAGTATCAGAGATCGGGTGGTTTTCTTCAGAGGTTAAATATACCAGAGTGGAAGTGGGAGTGTATCACTATGGATTTTGTAGTTGGGTTGCCACGGGCAGTAAGGACATTTGATGATGTGTGGGTCATTGTGGACAGATTGACCATGTCTACACACTTTATTCCAGTCATGACTACCTACACTTCAGAGCAGCTAGCTCGAATATATCTTAGAGAGATTGTTTGCCTTCATAGTATGCATGTGTCTATTATATCGGATCAAGGCACTCAGTTTACATCACATTTTTTAGAGCAGCACAACATGAGTTGGGTACACAGGTCGAGCTGAGTATGATATTCCATCCCCGTACGCACGGTCAGTCCGAGCGTACTATTCAGATCTTGGATGACATATTGCGAGCCTATGTCATTGATTTTGGGGGCGAGTAGGATCAGGTTCTACCATTAGGAGAGTATTCCTAAAATAACAGCTATCAGTCGAGCATCCAGATGACTCTTTATGGGGCCTTATATGGGAGACGTTGTCGTTTTTCGGTTGGCTGGGTTAAGCCTAAGGAGGCTAGGTTGTTGGGCATTGATCTAGTATGTGATGCTTTGGAGAAGGTGAAATTGATTCAGGAGTGCCTTCGTACAGTGGAGTACATGCAAATGAGTTATGCAAATAATAAGGCTCGTGATGTGGCATTCATGGTGTGTGAGAGAGTTCTACTAAGAGTTTTGACTATGAAGGGTATGATAAGGTTTAAGAAAAGTAGCAAGTTGAGCCCTCGGTATATTGGTCCATTTGAGGTCTTGGAGACAGTTGGTAGGTGGTTATAGACTTGCCTTTCCACCCAGTTTGTCGGGAGTTCATCCAATGTTCCATGTTTCTAGGCTTCGGAAGTACTATGAGGACCCGTCACATGTGTTAGATTTCAGCTCGGTGCAGTTGAACAAGGATTTGACTTATGATGAGGAGCCACTGGCCACTTTAGATAGGCATGTTCGCAAGTTGAGGTCGAAGAATATTAGATTGGTGAAGGTTCAGTGGAAGGGTATACCGGTCGAGGAGGCGAATTGGGAGACTGGGAATAATATGCAAGGCAGATATCCTCACCTTTTCGGCATTTCAGGTATGACTCTAAACTTGTTCGAGGATGCACGTTTGTGTAAGAGATGGAGAAAGTAACGACTCAGCGGTCGTTTTATGCATTTGAGCATTGTTCTCCTATTTGATGCCCCCGTATGTGTATTTATTATTATATGACTTGCGTGGATAGTTGATTTATTTTTGGGAAGGTTTTGGAGTGAATTGGAAGACTTAGTCCCATGGTTGTAGGCTTAAGTTGTAAGAGTTAGCCAAGGTTTGACTTTTGTGTAGACGATCCCGGATTGGTGTTTTGATGGTTTCGATAGGTTTGTGTGGTGACTTTGGTCTTAGGCGTATGTTCGTATTTGAATTTGGAGGTTCCTATATTGATTTGATTCTATTTGGCATAAGTTTGCAATTTGAAGGTTTGGAAGGTTCATCGGTTTGATCGGGAGTTGACTTTGTTGATATCGGGTTCGTATTGTCTTTACTGGAGTTAGAATTGGTTCGTTATGTCATTTGCGCCTTGTTTGTAAAATTTGATATCATTCTGAGTCGATTAGACGTAGTTCGACATGAGTTGTGGAAGTTGGAAGTTGATTAGTTCTTTAGGCTTAAATTGAGGTGCAATTCGTGGTTTTGATGTTATTTTGTGTGATTTGAGGCCTTGAGTAGATCCGTGTTATGTTTTGGGATTGGTTGGTTTGATTAGATGGGATCCCTAGGGTCTCGGGTGTGTTTCAAATGAGTTTCGGATCTTTTCCATCTTGTTTGTTAGTTCTGGTCTTCTATTTTCGCACCTATGATGGATTAGGCGCAGGTGCAAATGTGCAGAAGCATGGCTGGGGGAGGCTATGTCTGTAGATGCGGCAATGGGAATGCAGATACGCTTGCACAGAAGCGAAGGTACCTCCGCAGAAGTGATAAGGAGCCCGCAGAAGTGGATGGTCGGGAGTTAAGTGACTTCCGCATATCCGATGATTATTCTGCATATGCTATATCGCAGAAGTGGGATGTGATGACCTGATAGATAATTTGGAGTACTAGCCATTATTTCCGTGTTTCGAGACCTCTATTAACTTCATTTGATATTCCTTGAATTGTGTGCGTAGTCCCTGTTTTTTTCCAGAAAGTTCTTACCTAAACATTTGAGCAAAATGTGATTTTAGGCTTTAAAAATAACTTGAGTTGACTACGGACAATATTTTGGGTAAACAAGCTCGGTTCAGTGTCTTGATGATTCCAGTAAGTCCGTACTGTGATTTTGGACATAGGCGTATGCGCGAAATTGAATTCAGGCGTCCCTAGGTTGAGTTGACTTAATTGTCGAAAAACTGCAATTTGAATATTTTGAAATTTCCTAGGTTTGACCGTAGGTTGACTTTATGTTTATCGGGTTTGAATTTTGGTTTGGGACTTGGAATATGTCCGTTAGTCTATTTGAAACTTGTTTGCAAATTTTGGTGAAATTCATAGTTGGTTTGATATGATTCGGATGCTTGGTCGTGATTCAAGAGGTTATTGAGTTTTCTTTTGAATTTCATGCATTTTGATGTCCGATTTGTGGTTCTAGATGTTATTTTGGTGTTTTGACCGTGAGATGAAGTTTATATGATGCTATTACACCTGTGTGCATGTTTGGTTTGGAGTCCGGGGGGCTCGGGAGAGTTTCGAATAGGCTTCGGTCCATTTTTTGAACTTGTGCAACTGCTGGTTTTCTATTGCTGGTGCCCAATGCTTCGCGATCGCGAAGGGGAAGTTTGGGGCTGGGGCTGGTTGTTCTTCGTGAACGCGGGAGGCTGGGTCGCGAACGTGAAGATAAGGGGGCTTACCCTTCACGAACGCAATGTTTAGGGGTGATTTAGGGGGGGGGGGAAGCAGACGGGTTCTTTTCGTGAATACGGACCAAGGTTTGCGAATGTGATGGATGGCTAGGAACTTAGCCTTCGCAAACACGAAGAGGACGTTGCAAACACGAAGGCTATTTGGCCACTCTCTTCGCGAACACGAAGAACATCTGACGGCTAGATATTTAAACTGCTTAATGTCAGGATTTGACCATTTTCCACCATTTTTAAAAGCTAGAGCTCAGCCTAGAGGCGATTTTGAAGAGATTTTTCATCGCTACTTCTTTGGTTAGTGCTTTTAACATGTTTTGTTATATTTCCAAAATCGCCCATTGATTTTAACCTTTAAATTAGGATTTCCATGGTCGAAATTAGGGATTTGGATAGAAATTGGGAATTTTGTAAAATTGAGATTTATACCTCACATTGAGGTCGGATTTTGAAACAAATCACATAACCGGGCCCGAGGGTGAATGGGTAATCGAGTTTGATCCAAATCTCGGGCTTTGATGAAGATGGCGTCGAGTTTACTTTTTTTGACTTTTTCCAATTTCATCAAAGATCGAATATTTTTTACTCGTGGGTAGTTTCTAAAGCTTGTTTTGAATTATTTGAACTATATTTGGCTAGATTTGACCGATTTGGAGGCTAATTCTATAGGAAAGGTCGTGGAGTATTGATTTGATTGCAGAAAGAGGTAAGTGTTGTGTCTAACCTTGACTTGAGGGAATTATGACATGCTGGACTATTTGCTATGTGAATTATGTGGGAAAACGGCGCATTGCGAGGTGACGAGTGTATATGCGCCATCATGGGATTTAGCATGTGGGGTTGGGCTATTTATTTCCATATCTTTATTTATTCCATGTTATCTCTTTTATATGCTTTAATTGATACATGTTCTTACATGACATTCAATGATTTACTTGTAAATTGTTATTTAATTGTTACTTGCTTTCGATTTTTACACTTCTCACCCAATAGCTGCTTACCTACTACATGCTTCTAATTGTATAACTTGTTATCTCATGTTCTACATGTTTTTACCGTTCTTATTATTACTTGAGGTACATTATTATATTATTCCGTTTATGTGAGTCACTTAGATATTTTAGTATTATTGTTTTGCCAAGGTTTGGGTTTTTGAAGTATTAGTTATTCTCCATTTGTTGTGGTTGTTTCTTATCATTCTACATGCTTCATTTCTCTTTTTATTGATATTATGAAAATACCGGTGTGGAGTTGTGATGTTAATAATTTTATATTTATGGGTCTTGTTGCGCGCATCAACGGTTTTGAAATGAATTTTAATGAAGAAATAAGGACAGAAAATGATATGAACTGATGATGATATGGTGGGATCGGGTTGTGTGCCGCAACTGATTTAATCTGTTGTAAGTTATTTGTGGATGTAGAGATTGTTCTCGGTATTATGATATCAGATTTGGGATTTTGTTAATTTGGGGCCATTAGGTAGTTGACCTACGGGTTCAGTTATTTGTCTTTATTGTTCTATTTCTATTCATGTTTCTATTATTATTGTCTCGTACTAGTTTATTGTGAGTGTCTTATGATAGCCTCATCACTACTTCGGAGAGTTTAGGCTTGGCACTTATAGAGTATAAGGGGTCGGTTTTACTCATGCTATAGTTATGCACTTCTTGTGCAGATATCGGTGTTGGTCCCAACAGTGTATAGAGGCGATCTTGCCCGAACCGGCTATTAGTAGGAAACTTGAGGTATAGTTGCGGGCGTTTGCGGTCCCAGAAGTCCCCTTCCATTCTGTCCTTGTTGTTTACTTTATTTCAAATAGTGGTATTTTTGTTAAGACTTTATCTGTAGTACTCTAGATGCTCATGTATTCGTGACTCCAAATTTCTAGGATATGTTTAGTCTATGCTACATGGTATTATCATATCTATTTAAGACTATCACAATTTATTTTATTAGTGTTTTGACTTTTAATCGTTAAAACTGGTTAAATAATTAGCTAACACTGGCTGGCTTTCCTAGCAAGTGAAATGTTAGGCGCCATCATGGCCTCGAGGTTGGGATTTCGGGTCGTGACAAGTTGGTATTAGAGCACTATGTTGCCTAGGTCTCACGAGTCATGAGCAAGCTTAGTAAATTCCGGAGTATCGATACGAAGATGTCTGTACTTATCTTCTAGGGCTATAGAGCTTTAGGAAAATTTCACTTCTTTCTTTTCTATCATGCGACTTTATTCTATTACTGAAGTTTTGAACCATTATATTCTTATTCTCTCACAAAAGGGGAGAACGCACAACATCTACGGCCGAGAAGGTGCCTGAGCCCCCTATTGCAGCCACTACTAGGGTTAGAGGCCGGGGCCGAGGTAGGAGTCGAGGCAGAGGCATAGCTTAGCCTAGAGCACATGCAGCACCAACCATTGCAGAGCTTCAGATTGAGCAAGAAGAGGAGATCCCTATTCAGACCGCACCAGTCGGGCCCGCTCAGGTCCTAGAGGGATTCATAGCTACTCCCGTACTTTAGGATGCCCTAGTCCGCTTAGAGGGCCTTATGGAGAGTGTGGCCCAGGCCTAAGTGTTTCCTTTTAGCACAAGCTGTCTCTCAGGCTAGGGGAGCCCAGACTCCTGCCACCTACACTCCGGAGCAGATAACTCCCCTGTATCAGACTCTGGTAGCTCCAGTAGCTGGTGTAGTTCAGCCTATTATTGCTACACATCCCGCTTAGAGGCCCACGATGTCTTCTAAGGGGTTGATAAGATTGGATGAGTTCACAAGCTCTATATTATCCATTTTGGTGGTACACCTTCTGAGGACCCATAGGATTATTTGGACCGTTGGCACGAGGTGTTGCAAAACAAGGATATTGTGGATTCCAATAGAGTCAACTTTGTAGTGGTTCAGATGACTGGTTTTGCCAAGAGGTGGTGGCTGGATTTCGAGCGAGTCAGACTAGCAGGTTCACTGCCACTCACATGGGATCAGTTTTTGCAACTATTTTTAGAGAAGTTCATTCCTTTTACTCTGAGAGGAGTACCGCAGGTAGTTCGAGCGCCTTTAGCAGGGTAGCATTATTGTTACTCAGTAAGAGACCAGATTTGTGGACCTGTCCCGCCGTGCAGCTATCTTAATTCCTACTAATAAAGAAAGGGCGAGGAGATTCATTGAGGGTCTTACTTTTGGTATTATGCTATAGATGGACAAGGAGATGGGGATGATATTTCTTTCCAGAGGGCCATAGAGATTGCTAGACAGATCGATATG